GACCCCTGGGATTGCCGGGACCCCGGCGGGGGGTGCTGGGGCTGGAGGGGCGGCATGGCCGGGAAAGGGGTTCGGGGGTCCCGGAGCCGGGAGTAGCTGCTCCCAGTATGAGCCCAGTTGCTCCCAGTATGAGCCCCGTTGCTCCCCCTGTGTGGTTCCAGTTTCCTCCGCACTCCTAGAATGAGCCCAGTCACTCCCAGTTATTCCCTATTATGATGTAATTCCCCCAGCTCGGTCCCAATTGCTCCCATTTTGCTCCAGTGTGTTCCCAGTTCTGCCAGTTGCCCCTAGCACAGTCCCGGTCTCTCTCATTGTTGTCCCACTATGAGTTCATTATGATGCCAGTCTCTGCCAGCAGGGCCCTAGTCACTCACACTTGCCCCAGTTTCCCCGGCATGGTCCCAGTTTTCTCCCCAGTACATTTCCAGTCTCTCCCCATTAGGTCACCCCCCCTATGGTTTCAGACATTCCCAGTATATTCCAGTTGCCCTGAACAATCCTGTAGTCCTTCCCAGGCATTCCCAGTTACCTCAATGTGGTTCACTTGCCCCCGATTCCTCCCAGTGTGTGCACAGTGTGCTTCCAGCATGGGCCCGGTAGCTCCCAGTAGCCCCCAGTCAGGGTCCAATCACACCCACTCTAATCCCAGTATGACTGTAGACACTCCCAGTATGATCCCAGTATGATCCCCATCACTTGCAGTCTAATTCCAGTCACTCCCAGTCTGATGCCAGTGGCCCCCAGTGTGACCCCAGTTGGTCCCTGTCAATGCCAGCATGACCCCAGTAGCCTCCAGTATAATCCCTGTGCCTGCCTGTCTCTCCCAGTATATCCCAGTCACACCCAGCATGGTGCCAGTCACTCTCACTTCTTCCCAGCTGCTTTCAGCATGTTTCCAGTTGTTCACAACTATTCCTGGTCAATCCCAGTCACCCTTGATGTGATCCCAGTATCACCCAGCATGTACCCAGGTGCTGTCACTGTGATCCCAGTATGATCCCAACTGCTGCCAGAATAGCTCCAGTTGCTCCCAGTTCCTACCAGGATGATGCCTAGAATCGCCCCAGTCTCTCTCAGCATTGTACCACTATCTCCCAGTGTCCCCCAGTGTGGTTCCCGTCCCCCCAGTACGGTTACAGATACTCCCATTATATCCCAGTTACCCCAGTGAAGTTCTAGTTTGCTCAGAATGATTCCAGTCTTTCCCAGTTACTCACAGTTGTCTCCTGCCTGATCCCAGTTTATCTCTGTTGTCCATATTCCAGTTGCTCCCAGTATGATCCCTGCTATGGCCTCAGTCCCCTCAGCATGATTCCAGTACCTTCCATTTGATCCCACTTGCTCCCAATGTGTCCACATTTTCCTCCCAACATGGGCCCAGTAGCTCCCAGTAACCTCCAGTCAGGTTCCATTCTCACTCCCTGTAATCCCAGTAGGTCCCAGGATGACCCCAGTAGTACCTGTAGTCACTCCCAGTATTGTTCCAGTTTCTCCCAGTATGATCTGTTGTACCCATTTCCCCCAGTATGGTTCTACTCATCTCCTGTTTGAGCCCAGTCACTCCCAGATCCTCCCAGTCATGCCCAGAATGATTCCCTGTTACTCCCAATCTGGGCCCAGTTGCCCCCAGTCACTCCCACTATGGTTCCAGTTGTGGCCAGCACTTTTCCTGTCACTCCCAGTCTGCTTGCAGTATGATCCCAGTCATTCTTGGATATTCTCAGTACTATTGCAGTCACTCCCAGTATGATTCCAGCTAGTTCCAGTAGGATCCCAGTATGACTCTGGAATGGGCACAGCTGCTCCCATTATCATCCAGTGTGGTTCCAGTTGCTCCCATTTCCCCTCACTGTGGTTTCAGTCTCTCCCAGTGTATCCCAGTTGCCACCAGCAGGTTCCCAGTCACTCCCAGTTGTCCTCAGCTGTTTCCAGACTGATCCCAGTTGCTCACAGCCTCTCCCAGTCACCCTCAGTGCAGTCCCAGTTGCTGCCAGTATGATCCAGTACAATCCCAGTCTCCTGTAGCATGGTTCCAGTTGCTTCCAGTTCCATCCAGTGTGATCCTAGTTGGCCCTAGCATAGTCCCAGTCACTCCATAAATGATCCCAGTCCCTCCCAGCATGGTTCCAGTCATGCCCAGTTGCCCCCAGTATAGAGTAGTATCTCCCATTGACTCCCCAGTATCCCTCAG